TATATATATATATAAAATATACATTAAATTTTGTTGTTTGTCTTAGGTGCTTTACAAGATTTTGATAAAGTATCCTTATCAAATGTCGAAAAGAGCAATGACATAAATACAGATTCGCAGAAGCAAACAGATAAACATGAAATGTCTGAAGAAAGATGGACAAAGGATTTTCTCAAACAAACAGCTGATCAGTTTGAAAAAAATTTACAAAATTTATTGCAAAATGGTGAGATAATTAAAAATATATTAAAAAAATGCTAAACAAATATTTATAGGATAATAATTTATTATTAGAAGATAGCGAACTGGAAGCTGCTTTACAGAAGCTTGGACAAATGTCAGCCAGTAATGCAGTGGATGAAAAAAATATGAATGCAGATTTTCAGTCGGCTGTTTCACAAGTTTTAAAGGATTTAACTGCAAATTCTGAAAATTTACAGGTATTTAATCTTTATATGGATGATTAAAAAATATTGGATTAGTGAAATATCTCAAAAACAAGACATTTGGGAAGTTTCAAATACAAGTTGTAGGATTTCAACAAAAGTATGAAATAGCGATATTAGCATTGGTAATGATACCCATTAACTTTGAATACAGAGGAGTTCTCAAAGTTAACTTTTAAATTTTTTTTGGAAACTATTCAATCTTATTAGTTATGAAGATTTTAAAACACTATGATGAAACTCCTTTTGATTGAAGTTGAGACTTTTTGAAATATAAGTTAACAAATTTCAGATATTATCAGATATTCAACTGACAAATTTTAGGTATGGACAGCTAAAAACCTGAATATTGTTCAGGACCATACTTTGATAATTTGGAAATTGTTCCTCTTTTTTTTAATTTTTACAAAAATTATAATTTTTGTAAGTTTTATATCATGTTTCAGTGTGCCATCTGATTCCAAGAGCATAATGGATTACTTCACTTTTAAGTCACTAATGTTTAGAGAATTAATTTACTCTTGTAAAGTCTCAAAAAGTATTCGTGTTTTTAATGCTCCTTGATCACAAAGTATAAAACATCAGTTCTTTTCACAATATATCTCAGCAATCTCTGTTTCTTAGGGCTTACTTAGCTCCAACATAACGAACTATAGATATTTGAAGTTAAACTTGCAATATAGAGATATAATCTGAGATAACTAGCCAGAGATCAATCAGATTTGATGTTATGGCACAGGCTAACTCTTGCATTGATCATTACTACTTTCAATGATGAATGTCAGAAATTTGTTTTGATTTCTTCTACTTTTTCCTTTTCTTTGTATAGTAGATTCAGAGGAAATGCCAAGGATACATAGTATATTTTCGAGAAATGGAAAAGTTACTATTTCCTTACTTTTTATAATAATTTGATAATGATGTTGCAATTTTTTATGACTAATAATAATTAACTGAATGCTGAAATTACTCTAAGGTTGAAAAAGTTCATTTTGAAACAACTTACATTATTATGCGTTTACTTACTGAAAAAAGTAATTTGTAATGAGTGACATTATCTCATTACAAACAACGAGTAACATTACAAGTAATTCATTACAAGTAATGACTTGACTAAGAGATAATGAATTACAAATGTCGAATTAATTTTTTTTAATATTACGTGACCGGCGTGACTTTCCAACCTTAATATAATTGTTACAGTTATAAAAAAAATTCGTCATTGTCAAATCGTATAACAGAATAATGATAAAGAAAGTAACGGTGTTACAAATAACTAGAGTTTTTTTTTTGGAATTTTGAGGTGGGAGGAGCCTATGCTGAAACATTCATCATTAAAAGTAGCAAAGATCAAAGTAAGAGATAAGAGAGAGATTCTCTTAGTTGGACACATGGAGAGTGCAACTTATACTTCATTTCAAGAAGGATTAGATGCAGTTTATATGTTACTCTTCTTAGAAGGATTAAGAGAGTGCAACTCGTATGTCACACTACTGGAGGATGCGTTCCACTTAATATTTGCAACACTTGCATATATCTCTGACATGCATGATTTCATTCTTGTTTAATATTTGACGATAACAAGAATGAAATGATACTTGCGAATGTATCAAGCATTGCGAACGTTTAAATGGAACACATTCTAGGACGGATTAAATGCAGGATGTGACTGATTTAATCCACTCGTTCGCAAAAACATTGGTATATATATATTATGCAGCTTCATGTATGACTATAGATATGTAAGGCACTCCCAAAATGAAAATAAGAGATAATCTCTGATGGTCTTGACATATGACTGAATAACATCCAAAAGGTTTTGGCCATCGGTCGAATATCTTGAATAATGTTAATGCCAGCAATATATGTTTATCAATTCATCTCAAAAAATACGAAAATACCAAGGAATCTCATTGTAATGTTTTGAAGAGATTATGACATTAGCTGTAAGAATATTGAATAAAAGTGCATTTTCATTTAAAATTTTAAAGTTAATTTAAGAGTTCTATGGGTGCGTTTCACTTAACGTCTGCAACGCTCGCGAGCGTCATTTCATCTTCATAATAATCGAATGTCGAACAAGGATGAAATGCATACGAGCGTTGCGGACATTAAGTGGAACGCACTCTATATCTATTCTTGTGCTCAAGATCAAATAGAATATCGCAAAATAATTCATTGTTATCCTACAACTTTTGCATGAAATTTTTTTTCTCGAATTATTTTTTAGATATTTCACAATTTTCTTTAGTCAACTTGTATAGTGTATGATGCTTTTATTTTAACCCTCCGTTGAGTTATTAAATTAACTTTGAAGATATAATCGATTTTTTAATTATAAATTCTGATAGGTAAATTTAAATCTGTAAAAAAATAAGTAAAATCCGATTTCTATATAGTAAACATAAAGTTTTTATAAGATTGTTTCAGCTTTTCATATTGTCCAGAATAATATAAAAATTTGCACTAAACCTCAAAGATCTAGGTTGCTAACGAAAGGTGCGAAATTTCGCATGGCCGACGAAAAATTAAAATAAGATCATAAGTGATAAATTTAGTTACTTTAATAATTATGTTAATAGTTATTTTAATATGGTAGAATATTGGGTATTTTGTGTCCAATTCGATTGATTTCTGTTCATGCAAATTTTTCACGAAAAATCCGATTAATCTTTCATTCATTATTCCCTTCTTAAAAAAAATTTCTAGTGGAGAACAACTATACGTGTAAGGCGACCGCGACCATCAGTTTTCTTGTAAATAGTATGTGATTCGATTCTACATCCCCAGAAATCAATTCTTTGCCCGTGATATATAGCCTGTTATTGGCAATTAGGCCTACCTACTGATGTTTACTTTGTTGACTCGTAACAGGCAAAAGATTGATTTTCAGGTTGTGCCTATGGAGACATTTGTTCAGAATGCCGAAAGCTACAACATATCAAAATTTCAATTCCGCCGAAACCTAATGTCTATAAGATTATGACGAAGTCCTTTGAAGTTCTTGTACTTTTTTTTTTCAAAACTTTTTTGTATCTAAATTAAAAAGTTAGCTATTTTTATATGCCTTTATTATAAAAAGTTACACTTTTTTAAATCAAATGACATTTTTACTCAACTTATGATTTCTTTGCTAAGAAAATTCAGTAAATTATATTACATTTAATTATTGTCTAAACGAAATTCAGACATTATTCTAGAAACTTGTTCTAGAAACTTGAACGTATGTTCATGCATTTTTAAATATTTTTGAATCACTTTAAATAAATGGAAAAGACTCGAAATATCCAAATTCATATCGATAATGTACCGATTTGTGTATTATATCATATAAGGGTTAATAAAAAGTTATTTTTATAGCAATAATACTTGTCTATATTGATTTTTACAATTTAATATTTTTTTTAATTTATAAAAGTAAATAGATAATATTATTTTCTATTCATTTTTCTGATAGGATCAAAATAAATAATACATTTTAGAATGAAACAGATGTAGCAGCTATGCTCGGACAAACATCTTTTGACGGCGATACTGGTGATATATTACCATTTATGCAAGGAATGATGGAGCATCTTTTGTCAAAAGAGATTCTTTATCCGTCATTGAAAGAATTATCTGATAAATATCCAGCATGGTTAGAGGAACATAAAGCAACTTTAAATGCTTCTGATTTAGAAAGGTATACAAAACAGTCAGAACTGATGCAAAAGGTATGTTAATAAAATAATGAACCAACCTATGATTTATATGGAAGCTTTACACAATTAACATATTTATATTGTATATAAGGTGTGTATTGAATTAGAAAAAGAAAAAGAAGATGATACAGAAGATATTAAACAACATCGATTTGAATGTGTATTAAAACTTATGACGGAAATGCAAAATTATGGTCAAGCACCTGACGACCTTTTTGGCGAACAGTGTTTGCCTTTTCAATTTGATTTCGGAAGCAATCCCACTTTTCCATTCCCACCTGGAATAGATTCTCAGCAG